ACTGTCATATTTTTTTTTTGTCAGCTGATGAATGATAAAAAACATTGACAGCCAATCAGAATCCATCCTGCTTTAAAGAGCTCAAGCATTTAAAGCAGCTGACGACAAAACTACAGCGCACGCTTAATGTCAACAGAATGATGTTCTGGGTTTGTGTGGACACTAATATAGTAATCGTTGTAGTTATCGTTCTTTGTGTGAACGGGCCTTCAAGCCAATCCTAACGCCTCAAACTAGTCCCAAACTGTTTTTGATTAGCAAATAACTGGGACAATTGTCCTTTTAACTGGGACAATGTTTAAATGAATGTAGTACATGAAACCCTAAAAAATTTGCCAGTGTGTTCACAAGATTTTTCCTATTTTGGCAATGTCAAACGATGTTTGTTTGTTTGTTTGTTTGTTTGTTTGTTTGTTTGTTTATCTTTCAAAAACGATATCAAAAATATCGGTATCGGCTGTATATGTTCATTTTCATATGTTCAAAAAAATTTGGCCGATATATTAAAGCTGATAAATAATGTATTATTTCCTCCAGTTGAGACACTTAAGATGTGCACTGTTCACCATGATGGTTTTGAATAGCTTGAAATATGATTGGAATCACTTCAAAAAAGGAAAATACAATTAAGTGCAACATGTGCAATATGTCATATAGGCTACATAAAATTATAATGAGAACATCATTAGAATTGTGAGCTTGGGACATGGATATAATGGTAAGACTTTTGTTTTTGTAATCAGGCTCTCAAAAATTATAAAAATTTGGATTTAGATTCATTGGCAAATATATCAGTTTTCGGCTTTCAAATATAAAGAATTATCGGTATCGGCCAATATTTTCATATCGATGCATCCCTAATTTGTTTGTTTATTTGTTTTGTTATTTGTTTAAAAATGTGTCCACAATGTCAAACAATGTTATTTTTGTTTTTGTTTATTTGATTGCTTGTTTGTTTTTAATGCTGTGTTTTAGTTAGTTTAATTCTCATTTGTATTCATCCATATTCAGTTATCGCACTTGAAGACAAGCACAAAAGTTCGAATTTAATGGCAACTTGAAACGCTATCGGTTCTTGCATGTTTGGTAACTGATCGAGGTTTAAGAGCTGTGGCAGAAGGGAAGATTTCCAACGTTGGTAGCTGTCCTCAGACTTCAGCATTATTAAAAAAAGCTTGATAAATCCTTCTACTGCTCCATTGCAGATGGCATTTTTCACTTTCCCAACTTTCAATCAAAGTCTCTCATTAGACTGCATGTCAGCTTTTCTACAGACATCAGGACCTCATTAAAGCGCATGTCCAAGTATGAGAGACTGCTTTGGGGAAATAGCGTTAGTCTCATCACTCTCATGCTTAGGCACGGTTCACTCGGCAAACAGCAGCAAACCTCGCTACGCTGAGTTACGTCGTCTCTGTTCTTCATCAGCTGACAGAAGCACAGCCTCAGGATAAGGTCATCCTGTTCTTCCTCTCGCATCTTTATTCAGAAACTGTTGCACTCCCCTTTTCGCTCTCTATCCATCTTGTCTTGACTTTTTTTCTACTTTGTTTGTCTGCTGCACCATTGATAACAAGTTTAACGTTTGTGTTAAATTAAATGGGGGGAAAAAAATGACTGGAATGGGAAAAACTGAAACTCAGGAATAAAGCAGCTCCAATTGGAATAGTCTATCAAATTGTATCATAAGAGCACATTCTTATTTTTAGCGTACTATGGTTTGGGAAATATAAATTCAGATCTTGTGTGGATAGCAGTGCTCAAACTGCTCATTTGGTCTCCAAACTTGAAGGGTTCTCATCTTGCGCTCTTTCTACACCCATCAAGCACATTATGAAATAAATAAATCTACATTTAACTGTGAGCTCACTCATTTGAGAGTGCTTAGTTGTTCTAGAGGTAGTACTGTTGTATAAACTGTAAGAGGTCCTATATTTGAATCTCAAATTAGCTGATTTTCTTTGGAAAAAAGGGACAAGGTTTTGCGGGGGGTGCATTTGGCAGAGGCGGACAGAGTACACAGCTTCGTTACTTGAGTAAAAGTACAGATACCCCTTGCTAAATTTTACTGAAGTACAAGTAAAAGTACTACAGTCAGATGTCTACTTAAGTAAAAGTACTGAAGTACTTGTTTTTAAAAGTACTTGAGTATCAAGAGTACAAGAGTAAATTTTCTAAATATTGCATTACTACTGCCACAGTGTCAAGTCAAGTCATCTTCATTTATATAGCGCTTTTAACAATGTAGATTGTTTCAAAGCAGCTTTACAGAGATAAACATATAATTTAAGGTAACAGAGATTGTTTTGGCTTTGTAGCGATTCTTAAATAATGTTATTTCCAGCTAAAGTTAGTTTTGATTGATTCACTTCCGTCGAAATGATCATTTGTTATTAAATTAGGGGCGCTAAGACGACACCGTTCTCTCTAAATAGACTTTAAACTGAACCTGTGATAAACGCTGATGGCGTTCACATGCGCATTAAGAATTGATTCTATAGTTATGTGTGTTCGAATATATGTGTGCAAGTTTGTAATTCCCTACAAACCATGCCTAAACAAACTACTTGTCTTTGCCTATAAATTTGATGCAGAATTTTATTTTATCACTTCGGGGTAGGTACGCGAACCGTGCTTACATTTATGTACAGAAACGTCCTACATGGAGTTATGAAAAATGTTAATGTTAATACCTTTGATAATCTAAAAGGAATTGGAAGTCATTTTCATCTTTTTACCATGTTGCTTTATTTAACATTTCTCACTTGCCCACAAAGCAATGCACAATGGCAACGCTCTGACAAACTAGAGTTTTAATGGATTTTTTGCACCCACATTTGAACCTGTTTCGTCTCTCATCTAAATCTGACCATGGAGTTGACTTTGGCGGAAAGCTGAAGGTGATTGCTGATAGGCTGTCCCAATCAGTGGCGCCTGCACAATCCAATCACGTTTGAGAGGGAAACAACAAATTGAGGGTTTCCGAGATTTTTCTTTCTTTTTTTTAGAAGTAACGGGTACTCACGGTTATGGATAGAAATGTAGTGGAGTAAAGAGTACAATATTTGCCTCTCAAATGTACTTGAGTAAAGTCATGAGTAATACCCAAAAATGATACTCGAGTAAAGTACAGATCCCTCAAAATTGTACTCAAGTACTGTACTCAAGTAAATGTACTCCGTTACTGTCCGGCTCTGGCATTTGGTAGCATTTTATTTTTCATTTTCTCTGACTTGAATAGCTTGACCTCAGTTGTACGGCAGTGTTAACGTTTTAACATTTCGTTCCTCCTTCACATTTGGTTTCTAGCAGGTGAAGAGACTTTTTTTTTTTCATGACCAGACAGATGCAGCAGAAGTGAGAAGGGGCGGCAGGACGTTAAGCATGCAGATTAAGTTTCAGACAAAGTTACCAATGGTTAAAGCAAATATAATTTTTTGACATTATCTTCAATACTATTCAAATATTTGTGACACCCCCCCTCCACCCAAACGGAGTCACTTTCACATACTTTTTGCTCTCTGCCAAATGTGGCTCCAGCATATTAGTAAACATGTACCAATTCTGGCTCAGCAAATGGGTGCACCGAGTGCTAGAAAAGAAGGATATCTGCCCGTCGATGCTGATTTGAAATGCATGTGTGCACATACACACAATCCCCCACTAGGACATGTGTTTCTCATTTGTGTGTGACCTCTGCCAAGATCACTTCTGAAGGTGTGGAGGCCCAGATTAATACTGTAAAATGAAGAAGAAACTGAGTACATTGTATACTTGAGTGCAGGGGATTCAAAGTTCATGCGTCTCTCTCTCTCTCTCTCTCTCTCTCTCTCTCTCTCTCTCTCTCTCTCTCTCTCTCTGTGCCTGTCTATTTTCTATCTACCTTTCTGTCATTCTATTTGTCGTGTCTGTCTATCTCTCTGTTTTGTTCTGTCTATTTCTTTATGTATCATTCTATCTATCTCTCTATGTATGTATGTACGCAAGTCTGTCGTTCTGTCTATCTCTGTATTTACAGTTCTACCTGTCTCTCCATGTATGTTCCATAAGTACTTGTTTTGTGGACTACTGCTTTGCTAGACTACTTTACATAATCTGTTGTTTTCTTTATAATGAGTCTGGCCTTTTTGCCAAAAAAGGATCAGGAAATATTGCAAACTGTACTGGGGTGTTAATTCCCAACATTGTATTCTATTCTCAAACACATACATGCTCTCTTTATATATGTGAATTCAGCTGCAGACCCACCAAAGTAATTTCATTGAAATCCACTTCCAACATCAGCTTCAGCAGCAGAACAAAGTGTGTCTCTATCTTGTGCACACACACACACACACACACACACACACACACACACACACACACACACACACACACACACACACACACACACACACACACACACACACACACACACACTTAGCTCATACATGAAGTGGTAATTAGCAGCATCAGGGTGTGATCCCTCCGTAATGTGGGTGTTGAGTGAGACCTAAAATAATCCAGTGAAGAATGACGAATCCCACGAATGAAACTCATTATCAGCTGTAGTGCTCCAGCAGGCTGAAGGCTCTGTGTACCTGAAACATATAATCACAGGCTTCCAAAAATCCCCTCAATAACTCTTTGTCTAGACTTCAGAGCCAATATGCGGCGAACATCACCAGTCGAACTGCATTTTTAAAGAGATCACACGTTGTGGGAATCTGTGTTCATAAGTAAAGGGGCTAGAAAGTGATTTGTGGGTGTTGTTACAGATCTTTTTTTTTTATAGGTTAAAACAATAGTGGCAACTGTTTTGTTGCTCAATGTTTGTGCAGCATCTTTTTTATTATTAGTAGAAATGGTCTACTAAAAAGGCATATTTCATTTTTTTATTTTTTTTATTATTAGTTCTATTTATACAGGGCAGGTACATGTTTTCAATCTTTCCATTGATTTGTTCAGGTTTTTTTTACTTGTGTTTCTCAAAGTGCTGTATTTTTCCCCTCTCTCTGCAGATTTCTCTATAGCCCGGTCCAGAGCTGTGCAGTCATGTTCAGGAACAGTCTGAAGATGCTGCTTGGCGGCAAATCCAACCGCAAGAATCGAAACAGTGGTAGGTTGAGTTAGTCGTCTTTTTAATATCGAAAGCTTCCCAAGAACAACCAGACCCCAGGATGTGCCTTTAGTGTCATGTGAAGCAGGAGTGTAACCATGTAAGAGTTTGTTTACTGGATGTGTTTTTGTGTTACAGCTGTGCTCTTCTTTAATTTTCTGTCCATCATATCTGTCAGATGGCTACCGTATTTTACAGAAAACAAGTCGCACGTGACTATAAGTCACACTTGGTCAAAATTGCATTGTTGAATGAAAAAAAAAAGTCAAGTCAGTTTATTATTACATCCAGAAATAAAAAGAAAGCAGTTTTTCTGTCTTATATCAGTTAAATCTTATAAAAAAGCAAATTTATGCCTTTTTCAAGTGTAGATATAAATAATACCCATTAGACAGTCGCTAATTTATAAAGTCATGCAAATGATTTAGCTAAAGATAAATTATTAAAAAAACCATTTTTGCCAAATCTTTTGGGGTAAAGTATGTTCAAATATTCAGTATGAAACCCTTTTTGGCTGATATATGAAAATGTGAATAGTGTGCAGCAAAATAAAATCTAAACATAAATGTTTCATTTGTTTATATTCATAGTATATTTTTATTTGAAACCTCTTTCCCAATTATTCACATATTTCCCGATTAATGCTCCTCAGCATGACCAAGTTAACCAGTAACGTTGATCAAAATGCGTCAATGCACCACTTTTTTCCCTGTAAAGTTTTACACTGTAGACAACCCTAGAAAAGGTGGCACAGCTTACCCCACTCTCATCTACACTGTCTGGTTCTCACGAATTGTAAACATATAATTTAGAATCTACTACAAACTATTTTTTTTTATAGAATAGCTTAGGGAGAATCTAGCAAGCTACAGGCTAACTAACAATGTCAAAGCTGTGCACTAACACGCCTCGAGATCCCATTCTGTTCACGCTCTATCTAGAATTTTTGAGTATGGGAATATGTGTGTGTTTAGCTCTCAGAGAGATTTCAGCCTTGTGTTGAGGAGATTACAATAGTCAGAAGCTACTGTTGGAGTGAAATGAGGATTCTGCAATTGAACCGAGCCAGATGAAATTTAAATGGTTTATGGTTTAGCAGAGTTTGAAAAGAATGTGTGTATCATACAACCCCCCCCCCCCCCCCCCCCTAATAACGCTCATATTAACAGGTTACAGCATTCACACTGCGGTGCTGTCTTTTGAATATAACCCTATTTTGTCTTACTGCATTGGCAATTTTTTCCACTATTTTTTATTTGTTTATACTTAAAACAAAAAAATCTGCTAGTGTAGCAAGACAATATACAGTTTGTATATTAATGATACACTACCGTTTAAAAGTTTTCGGTCTGTAAGGTTTTAAAATATTTCTTTTTTTTTCTTTTTTTAAAAGAAATGATGCATTAAATTGATTAGAAAATGACAGTAAAAACTTAATAAATGCTATTCTTTTGAACTTTCGATTCCTCAAATAATCCTGAATCATCCTGGTGGCCACAAATATATTAAGCAGAACAACAGTTTTCATCTGTGATAATGACGACAAATGTTTCTTGTGCAGCAAATCATCATATTAGAATGATTTCTGAAGGATCTTGAATCACTTGAAGACTGGAGTAATGATGCTGAAAATTCAGCTTTGATATCACAGGAATAAATTACATTAAACAATATTACAATAGTTATTTTAATTTTTAATAATATTTCACAATTACTGTTTTTACTTTATTTTTTATTAAATAAATGCAGCCTTGCTGAGCATAAGTGACTTTTTTGAACAGTAGTGTACATTCTCTTAAAACAGGTCTTAATATCTTATGCAGTGTTGCTGCTCAAGCAAATATATCTTGTTTGAAAGATAATTTAACCGGGAAATAGAACTAAAATACTTTTTTCAGCAGTTTATCTTTACTCTGGGTTTGGGATTCATTCTATGTGGATTTATTACCATGTGGATATAAATGTGTTTCTTACTCCTTATGTAAATTCGATTTCACAACGATTAAGTTTTTAATGGCCAGCCCCTTATTTTATAATGTGTGGACATTATAAAATCCACACTCAATGTAGTAACCCAGAAATCACGTCTGTTACACAGAAGAAAGCCTGTCAGTGTGAAATCATGAGAACCTGCTGTTGCAGTCACATTGCCGCTTGACTTGCATGCTACTTGAGCGTGTTGTGTGAAACAGCCCTAAGAGCTCAGGTATGCCAGAGGGAGAATGCAGTTGTAGAGCAGTTTCAGGGTTGTGGTAGAGGTGAGCAATACAGTTGTGCTGTGTGTGATGGATGAGGAGGGTGTATGCTTTCCTGTGTGCTGTTTGCCATTCGGTTTTCACTGAAGTGTGGCTCTGCGACTGCAAGGACGTCCACGGCTGCAAACTTTTGTTTTACACACACACACAACATGTACATCCACTCAAACATACACATACTTGACTTCCCCTCCATACCCCAGGTCTGTCTGAATCTCCCATAAAAGTTAAGTCAAACAAGTGGCAAGTCTGACTCACCCAACAGATCAGCCATTCACCAGCCAGTGAGCTGTGTATCAAAGGGACCTCACACTTCCCAGAAAGACCTCCAGTCTTTAGTCCATGTCCTCAGACTGTGGTTGAAATTCATGCTACTTTGCTGACGTCTTGAGTCATTTTCTCTTCAGGGACTCCAGCTCTTGAAGGGGCCAATTTAATTTTATTCCAGTGTAGTTTAGGGTGTCATTACTGTCACAGGTTTAGATAAATGTAAAGTCATTTGAATGGGCCCTTTGAAAGAAAGAAAAAAACTGAAAGGTACTTCGTAGAATTAGAAACTATATAGAAGCTGCATTGAGAGCCTCATTAAGCAAATTATATTTGTTAAAATCTTTAATGTTAAATGAGAGTAAGCAGCATTATGGAAGATATAGAATCAAGTTGATGGTTCGAAGACATTCGGACCAAAAAAAAACCTCACTTTGTTGTGAATATTATTGATAACACTACACTGAACTGTTTGAATACAATTACTGCGATTCATTTTAGTTGAACTGTTCATTCAAATGCTTTTCAGTGAACTGATTCACTAAAACAATTCATAGAACCATTTGAACCAGGACCCAAGTGCCTTTTACTGCTTTGTTGTAGTCAAGAGTTATTCACTTATTTTATACATTATATTTTTATATGTTATATACATTATAGTATATATTATATTCTTGCTGTTAGGGGTGCAAGTGGATCACAACCTAACTATAGTTGTTTTTTTGCTCAGTTGAAACTGAGCTGGATCTCCATGCATTTTTGTTGTACAGAAAAGAGCCATTGTGTTCCACAGGAAAACAAGTTATTCAAGTTTTGAGGAACATATGAGAAGTTAAATTAATTTTTAATTTTAAGCAAGTGATTTGAGTTGATGGATTTACTTGGATGTACAATAAGCATGCAATATAATTCTCTCTTTTTTTGGAATTTGCCTTTGCACTTTGATTTTGTTCTTGAAGTTATTATATTATTTTCCCTTTTATTTTAAATCCTCAAATGTTTTACAGTTCAGTCGAACCATTAAAATCATCTGTTGAGGGAGGCTCTTGTGCTATCAAAGTAATAATACGTACAGTACCTCACAACTGAGTGGCAGCTGAAAAGTGTGATATGCGAATACCGCAAAGGAATGAACCGGGTGCCGTAGACTTGGGATTTGGATGTGCTCCAAGCCCAGTTGTTCCCTTTAAATTCATTACATGCCTAGACACCAATTCTCAATCCATGCAGAAGATGTGTCCTGTTGTTGTGAGGCCTGTGGGTTTGTCTGTTTTGTATGACACATGTATTTTTGTACTCGTCTTTGATCTCGTCTTTTGACTGGAGGATTTCCACAAGGTTTTGTCGTACAGTAATAACTCTCTTCACTCCGCATGTCTCTTCGTATCCTGCAGTGCTACATATGTGGAGTGCCTATGAAGTCACTGGTGTCATTTTTTTCATTCCTTTCTGCCTTCTTTTTTCTGTTAGTATTCAGCTAGATGCAAATGCAGCTCTCTCAGCTGAATATATTTGCCATAAATTAGATCTGCACAGCCAGCAACTTACAGAGCACAGCAGAGGAACTGCGCTCCACATTGGAGAAAAAACACGTGTCGCAGGGCGATTGATGGTTAGCCTCTAGACCCCTCAAACATCGTGAGCAGAATCCTAACAGTCTCAAACAGCTGCCAGCAGCTCTGACCCATGAGCCCGGTGTGGTTTGAATATGATGCAATCCTGTAAAAGAACCGCAGGCGATATTTTGCCTCTAGCATGTCATTGTGCTGGCAGATTTTGCCAGACATGGTTGTGGTTGATTTGATTAGTGTAATTATTTATATAGAGAGAACTTTGTATGCTTGATGAATGCTGATATTGGAATATTTGGATAATGTATGGTGAAAGTGATATCTGTTCATTTTTTAATTGGACAAATTTGGTTCAGGATTGATGCCAACAACCAATGTAAGCTATGGAAGACATTATTTAGGTTAACGTAGCACATTGTTTCCTTAGCCTGCCTAATATTTAAAATATTATATAATATATTCTTTTACCTTTGTTGGTTTGAGCCAACTTTAGACTAGGGTTGTTTGGAATTCAAAACTGAATTGAGAATGCATTTTAAATTACAATTAACTAAGGTAGCAGACAGAATGTAGAAATTGAATGTAAGGTAATATAGTTGGAATATAAATTAATTGAAATGTAAAGAAATTTACATAACTGTTTTTTTGTTTTTGTTTTTTTTAACCAGAACAACAATGTTTGGTGAGACAAATGTTAATTGTTGGTTTGAAAAAAAGTGTTGTTTGAAATTTTTTAAAAAGTCAATGACGGATGGACGTTTGGATGGATATAGATAGATTGAATTGTAATTCATTAAATTCCTCGTGTAATTCAAATTATAATTCAAATTCCTGTGGGATGTGGCCACTTAAATTTAAAATGTAAAATTTTTTAAAGGGAGCCAATTCTTGAGTGCAGCATTTTGCA